CAGTCACTTCTTGCCTTTAGCAGACTAATTTTTAAGTTGATATTTTTGTATGACCCATAATTTAAGTTATAAATTTTGGTGGAAAAAAAGGCCCTGGTGTGGCACTGTGGGTTAATGTGCTGGACTGCAAGGTCGGTTTGAACCTCAAGGTTGGTGGTTCAAGCTCACCAGTGGCTCCTCAGAAACCCTATAGAGTGTCGCTATGACTCGACGCTGACTCAACAGCACTTAACAATAGCAACCTTTGATGTAATTGTCTTTTGATCTCGTATTTCTTAAAACAGACCAGGCTAACTGTTGAGGAAAACTATACACATTTGAATATAGTGGATGTTGAATTAAAATTGACTACCTTCAGTGGGGGAAAAAAAAAAAAAAAGAGGAACTATACTTTGATAGTGGTGGTGTTTGTGTGCTGTGCAGTCACTTCCAACTCATGACTACCCTGTGTGGGTTTCCTAGTTTGTCATTCTGCACAGGAGCAGGAATCCTCATCTTTCTTCTGAGGAGCGACTGGTAGATTAGAACTACTGACCTTGCTTTTAGCTGCTCAACTCGAAACCCACTATGCTACCAGTGCTCCTTGTACTTTGATAGTGTTGTGAATTAATTTACACAGATCCAAAATCTAGAATCAGATACTAACCAAGTGCTAATGATTTTATTCTCTGACTCTCAGCTATCTCTACTTGTCTACATCCTTACCATCTTTGCACCTACTTTACAACCTACCGTTCCATTTGCTTTGCTGTATCCTGATTTCATTTTGAAAAATTAAATATTATTATTTACCTACTTAACTTCAGTGATATCCTAGTACTGTATTGTAAACTCAAATTCTTATGATACTGGTGGTGGTATACCGTCGAGTGAGTTCCTACTTGTAGCGACCCTGTAGAGGGTTTCCAAGGCTATAAATCTTTATGGGAACAGAAAGCCTTATCTTTCTCCAGAGGAATGGCTGGTAGTTTTGAACTATTGACTTTTGGGTTAGTAGACTAGTGTGTAACTCAATACGCTAACAGGGCTCCTTAAAATCCTTATAAAAGTCAGTAACCCATATATATATATGTACTATTATCTTTATATCGATTTTCCATGCTGTCCTGTTTTCCTAAAATCTCCACCTCCCTTATTTAATGTCTGTTCATCTCTAAGATCTCACCTCAGATATCCTTTCCTCAGTGATCCTTTTGCAAAATACCCAGACCTAGGTCTGGTTCACCTGATGTATGCTTTTACAATACCTTGATTTTTTTTCCTTCATTTTTATAATTACATATTTATATTATTATTATTTGTTTAAAACCTCTCTCACTAGACCATAAGCTCTATGAAGCTAAGAACTGTAGCTCTTTTGCTAAACATTATATTCCTGTTGCATAGCACAGTACCTTTCAAATGGTAGGTACTCAGTAAATATTATTTGAATGAAATGAACTGATACAGTGAATGCAAGGAAGTAAGATAGTCTAGATATCTGGTTATTTTTTGTTGATAAAGATTAACCACTAATTAATGGGTTGGATTTGTAATTTTTAAAAGTTAGATTGCTAATATTGGCTATTATTAACAAGTTGACAGTTTTATAGAATTTAAAGTAGGATATCCAAGAAAATTCCATTTAAAAAAAACCAAATCTAGTTATTTAAATGATAGCATTTTTATCCAGATATATGAACTTGGTGTTTTGCATTTCTGTTTTTCATTAAGGTTCAGTTTGATCGGTACCTGGCAGCCCCAGACAATCTGGTAATGTCACAACTGAATTTTCTCCTGAGCGCCACAGTGAAGTAAGTATTGGATCCGAAGTAGCTGGTAAAGAGTCACATATTTTTAAATGCCAAGTTAATTTTTTAGGAAAAACTGTTTTTTATCAAGTATAGAAGATTTGCCATGAAATATCTGTGTGTAGTTCTCGGTCTTTTTATTTTTTGCTTCAACATTATTTTTTCCTACCAGTTGCCATCATATGCGTATCCGAACAGAAAGAATTGTGTTCCATAGAATTTTCAGTGCCTGATTTTTAAAAATATCTTCAGGTTTTTCTCCCAAAATATTTGCAAGTAGACTTGAATCTTCAGTGTTTTGGTTAGCAGGTAAACACAGTAACTGTTTGCGCCACCCAGGGACTCCTAAAGACAGGTTCTAAGTCACTGTCTCCTTTAGAAAATGATTGGTATGTTGTTGTTGTTGTTAAGTACCTTTGAGTCAATTCTGACCCATAGTGACTCTGTATAGGGTTTCCAAGGAACAGCTCTTGATCTTGAACCACTGACCTTTCAGTTCAAACGACTTTGCAGTCTGACACATTAGCCCACAGCGCCATACTTGAAATATGTGACTTGACCCTTATCCATACTTGTCTCTTGGCTGTGATCAGCTTTAAAATCTTTAATCGTTACTAATTTTTAGAACCATTTTGAGTATAATTTGAACTGTATAGCT